GTCCTACATCATATAAAACATTTCATAATGTCCTACCACATGTCCTAAAACATATCCATTTTATATCCATTTTCATCATGTCCTTTTTTATATCATGTCCTACTATACCACTTCCACTTAAAAGCTACTGTTTATTCCATTTCTTCATATTTGCTTAAAATATCCTACTTCTTTAAGTCCATGTCGTACTTCATATTCTACTTCATATCCTAATTCTTCATGTCCTACCACGAATGTCCTTGTTATGTCCTGTTTCATTATGTCTTACCATTTGATCTACTACATGCCCTACTAAATGTCCTACTTCATTATGTCCTACTACAAAAGTCCTATGACCTCACATATAGCGAGTACGGCAACTATGACACCACAGTGACTGGTCAGCCTGTCTGACGTGTCCAGCGTGATCGATCTGTTGTAATCGATCAAAGTTCAACTGGGGGGCCAGGGGTAGATTAGGGCCTTCAATTCCAATCAACCGCTTCCCTGACAGTATCGATCACAATGTCAGAAATAAAAAGTCGAAAAGTCTGGGGTTGGTACACCTCTGTACTTTCTCGCTTTGTCGATTGTATATATGTACGTCTACGTGTAATTATACGTGTACTTGTAAATTGCGTTTCTGTTTTATTTAAAAGTTCTTTTCTAGAGGGAATAAATACCATGTTTAGGAATCTTAAGATTTTTTTTTATTGGGTGATGACCAGATGTCCTAGGTAATGTCCGAGTTGACGTGTCCACTTATTCAAACCTTTGTTACGGCACCAAAAGTGTGGGACACGCACTCTACTGACCACACGCTCTGATGCCGCAGAAACCCATCAAGACCAGGACGATTGACCCCCCCCCCCCCCCCCCCCGCGCGCCACCCCGACCCCCTTACCACAACGAGTACTTTACCAAACCCCTGTCAACACATCAATGAAGTATCTTTTAACATCAAAACTCGGTCGACTTGAGTCATAGAATAGGGCGCTATAAGTTGGCGTCTATACTAGTCTACAGCTGTTTGGTTATACACGAGAGTCAACGTTTTTAGATAAAGCCTCATTCTACTGTGTAAATAAGTTTATTATAAACCTGTGTAAATAAGGTAATTATAAACCTGTGTAAATAAGGCAATTATAAACTTGTGTAAATATGATAATTATTAACCATAAAAGAACCGTTATTTTCTTCCTATGTTGACTGGGAGAAAGGAATGTGGACAGAGACGGATGGCCATCGTGAGCTTATTTAAGTCATCACGCTATGTTGACCGGTTGACTTAGGCACAACTTTGTCTTATGTCAAACCAAGATGTCAGGCCCATAGGTGAAATGTCAGGTCCATAGGTCAAAGGTCAGGTACATAGGTCAAATGTCAGGTCCATAGGTCAAAGGTCAGGTCCATAGGTCAAATGTCAGGTCCATATGTCAAAGGTCAGGTCCATAGGTCAAATGTCAGGTATGCATGTCAAAGGTCAGGTCAATATGTCAAATGTCAGGTCCACATGGCAAATATCAGGTACGCATGTCGAATGGCATGTCCGTATGTCAAGGGTCAGGTACACATGTCAAGGGTCGGGTCAATATGTCAAAGGTCAGGTCCACATGTCAAATGTCAGATCCATAGGTAAAAAGTCAAGCTCACGTGTCAAATGTCATATCTACGCGTCAAGCAAATTAACATCACCTCCTTCACTCCAATTCCCCTTTACCTCTCAGATGCTTTGCCTCTGCTATAAAAGAAATGTAGCATTCCTTGAAAAACAAACCATTTCGACATTCCAGTAGATTCCATTGTGAGGTTGGAACCTAAAAAATGTTTTTGTTAATGGTTGATCGTTGAGCCAGTGGCCACAATAAGCGCAATTATGTTTTTCAACTTTCCCTGAAAGTACTAGGATCAATCGGTCTCTGAAAATAGCCCAGAAACAAATATTCTTTGTCTTGTTTCTCAGCCATATTGTGTGCTTTTCTTTCTCTTCTTTCTAAAAGTTCGTTGGCTAAAATTTCCTGGCTAAAGTTTAGTGGGCTAAAGATTCGTGGCAAATGTTTGTGGTCTAAAGATTCATGAGAGTATTTTAGATCAGGATTCTGGACAAGTTTCGTGCGAGTATTTTACAATCAGGTTTTATAAGATTTTGAGTTGTCGCAATGCAATTGTCTTAGGCATTTTGTAGGAGTCTGAAACTGGCTGATTAGCTTTTTCTCTGATTGGTCTTCGTGAGCACGTGATCAATTCACCTCTAGTGGTGTCAAGAAGGGGATATCATGGCGCTGAAATCTGGTGAGGTGTTGTCACCTTCGCAGACATAACTCATTGACTGGATACGTAAACATTGTTTACATATTTCTGTTGCCCAAAAGATGTATAGCAGTTTTAACGATGAAAATCTAACTCAATAAAATTGAGACTGAGTGAATCCAGCATTAAATTACTGAATGAATTGAATTTAACTTCAAATGTCGTGTCGGCGTAGTTTACTCAGCGACTCACAATTTCTTATAAAAGATTTATGATTTAATTTTTTAATACTAAAAGCTATTAAATCATTGATATTTCATAAGATAAATAACAAATCAATTTTGCTTGGCAACTTGTGAAGTTTGTTATTCTTTAAAGAATGGCCTGGTTATATTTTAACTTATGATTTACAATTTACGTCATTTACTCCGGAAGTGGGAGATTTCACTTTCGCATTTGATAATTCCATTTAAGCGAGTTTTTGTTTTTGTTAAACTAATGCTGAGCAAAACCATTTTTTTTATACTTTAAACCGGTTTCATTAACCATCAAATCATGGAAGAGGGGAGGTAAGAACCTAGTTTAAGGTAGAAAATTCGATTAAAGTTTCCCGCTCTATCAGTAGACGAGAGAAACAAATTTCACACAAGAAATATTTAGTAGAAAATTCAAGGTGAATTAGAACATTAACGACATCAATTACGGCGTTTAATGTGTTTTTGTCAACTCTTAAAAGTGCGGCTCTCAAGTTGGGAATAAACTAACGCTGTCCATCAGCAGGAGGGGAAGTGATGACCACGTTAGGTGGAGGCGTGGGTAGATCCATGGGGGTGGGGGCGTGGGTAGGTCCATGGGGGTGGAGGCGTGGGTAGGTCCATGGGGGTGGAGGCGTGGGTAGGTCTATGGGGGTGGAGGTGTGGGTAGGTCCATGGGGGTGGAGGTGTGGGTAGGTCTATGGGGGTGGAAGTGTGGGTAGATCCATGGGGGTGGAGGTGTGGGTAGATCTATGGGGGTGGAGGTGTGGGTAGGTCTATGGGGGTGGAGGTGTGGGTAGATCTATGGGGGTGGAGGTATGGGTAGGTCTATGGGGGTGGAGGTGTGGGTAGATATATGGGGGGTGGAAGCGTGGGTAGGTCCATGGGTGGAGGCGTGGGTAGGTTCATGGGTGGAGGTGTGGGTAGGTCCATGGAGGCGTGGGTAGATCCGTGGGGGTGGAGGTGTGGGTAGGTTTATGGGGGTGGAGGCGTGGGTAGGTTTATGGGGGTGGAGGCGTGGGTAGGTTTATGGGGGTGGAGGCGTGGGTAGGTTTATGGGGGTGGAGGCGTGGGTAGGTTTATGGGGGTGGAGGCGTGGGTAGGCTTATGGGGGTGGAGGCGTGGGTAGGTTTATGGGGGTGTAGGCGTGGGTATATCATATGGGGGTGGAGTTGTGGGTAGGTCCATGAGGGTGGAGGCGTGGGTATATCATATGGGGGTGGAGGTGTGGGTATGTCCATGGGGGTGGAGGCGTGGGTAGGTTCATGATCCATGAGGGTGGAGGCGTGGGTATATCATATGGGGGTGGAGGTGTGGGTAGGTCCATGGGGGTGGAGGCGTGGGTAGGTCCATGGGGGTGGGCGTGGGTAGGTGTGGGTGTGGGTCAGTTCTTGGGTGGAGGCGTGGGTAGGTCCATGGGGGTGAAGGTGCAGAGTTTCTTCCAGGCATCTCTTCGGGCTCACACCCCCCTCCCCGAGAAAAGTCCACCGCCCCCCCCCCCCCCCCTATAAAATTTCAAACTTTCAAGTGCCCCCCCCCCCTCCCTGGAGAAAAAAAATCTGGAAGAAGCCCTGGAGACGTGGGCATTCCCATTATGGATAGGTGATACTTTGTGAGACTTTCCCCTGGGCCGTCGGTTGATAGAACTGATGACATCTACAACATGACATGAACTTGAAGAACGCGATAGAATTTAGTGTCATCTTAAATGTCATATAATGTCATTGTGACAGTCTGTAGAACAGGGAAAAATACTCATGACAAGTAGAAATGTATTATGATGGCATTTCATTGTCATCCTGATGTCATACATCTGTCTCAGCCAGCAATGCCATGTCGAGTGCACGAGTCAACCTCCCACCCCCCTCCCGGTTGAACACGCCCTCCCTGCACCAAAAACGCTCTACTTCTCTGTGACTTGTGATTAATCACTCATGAAAAGTCACTCTAGATCTGACGACCCCTGACCTTGACCCCATCCTCAGCTCTGCCGCTATAAAACCTTGACCCAGCCAGTATTCCTTTCAGACATTCAGCTCGAGGTTGGGGGGGGGGGTGACATTGGATGTGAATATTTCTTTGATTTGGACTGAGAGTGAGCGATGGAGTTGACCCACAGAGACCACAGAAAGAAACACTGGCCCCAACCCGCAAACTTGGCCTTTATATGACCTTGACCGCTTTGTTTTAGTGGGTCAGACTGATGATTGGCTAAACACGTGTTGCGAACTAATTAATTACATCTCATTAATTACAAGCACATGTCGGCAACTGCGCATGGCTGTAGGATGTAACCCTACCCGGTACCATTGTTGTTGTGACTAAGCTGCAGACCCGTTTGTGTACGGGCTGGTCCGTCGTCTGCAATTGTTTTCTGTTTACCCCATAGGACAGCCAGTAAATGGACGTTGATCAAAGGGCGATGGGGTGTACAGCCGGCGTCATTAGTCACTGGCTAGCGTCACCACCTGGCGTCACATGACTCGAGGTGTCGCCTTGTCACGAGAAATATAATCGATGGCACAATCTTACAATCTCAATGCTGCTATCCACATTCGCAATTCCACGATCCACAATCTCAATGCTACTATCCACATTCTCAAATCCACTATCCACAATCTAAATGCTACTATCCACATTCTCAAATCCACTATCCGCAATCTCAATGCTACTATCCACATTCGCAAATCCACTATCCACAATCTCAATGCTACTACCCACATTCGCAAATCCACTATCCAAAATCTCAATTCTACTGTCCACTATCTCAATTCCGCTATCCACAAACTCAATACAGCTATCCACAATCTTAATAGAGAAATCCACAATCATGATGTTGCTATCCTGATATCGTTAACCATGTAATCCACAGTCAGGAATTTACTATCCTCATATCCCTAACCCTGTAATCCCAGTCTCAACAACGTAAAATGTCTCTGAGCCCGCTCAGCTCTTAATTGTTCCTTACTCTTATCATGGAAATTAAAGTCGGCTGAACCAACTGCTTTTTACCAGATTCCTTAACCTGCCACGGTCAAGGTAACATAAAAACTCTACTGTATCTGCTTTGCCCTGTCCCCTGAAAGAATAATCTACTAATTGCCATAGCCCACAGATATCCCAGAGTTCCAGTCCGTGAGTACCCAGCTCAGTGTGACGTCATTCCAGTGCTAAGCGCAGGTTGACGAGTTGGGTCATACACTGAACAACATTGCACGTAAAAAGATTATGACGTAGATTATTCTGAAAATACGCGGATAATAATAAAACACCACCCATTGCGGATATTATTTTTATGCTATATCCGGCAAGAATATTTTTTTGAAATTTCATAGCATCAAATTGTATAAGATGTCCGGTCGGACGCAGGTTCGATGAAGTCACGATTTTTTTTTCTCCTAATTGGGATTTGAAAAGATCGCCCAGGTTAGAAGGGTGAAGTGTGGTCGTCTGCAAGTTGTGTGGGCTGACGTGGCAGGTTTTATATCCTGCCACAAAGATGGTGTCGATCGATGAGTAATCGCACTCAAATCCATTACACCATACTATAGAGCGGCCATTTTCTCGAGCTATGGACGCTTTGATATCTAAACCTTGCAGTGGGTGTGAAAGCTTTCTGTAACGGCTTCAAATGGTGCTCACCATGTCTAGTCTTTGGAGGGGGGGGGGCGGCTGTTATATCTCGATCTTCAACTCACAGCTGGTGCCAAGTTGTAGAGGTGACGCTTATCTCATGGGATCATTAGCTGTGTGGGGAGGGGGGGGGGGACTTACTGCCCAGGTTTTGTGTCGTGATATCCAAGGCATGAAACAATTGGTTGATTAATCTAGTATTGTAGTTCACACTTTGATGTACGGTATTATTAGCAATAGACAAGCTAGTAATCATGACAATCGGATTCCGATAAAACTGACCCTTAATAGCGTGAAAATGATTAACGGAAGGATGCTGCAAACTGAGATGGCAGTAAATGTATTGTAGACAGGCTACATCCGGTTGTTGAGTCACGTGTGGAGTGACGTCAATGCCGACCTGAAGGGTTAAGCCTACTATGTGTTACGTCATCGAGTGAGCAGTTTATATTAATGTTCTAGAACTAGTATCGTTTGATGCACATGAGGCCGTTTGTCTAGTGTGGAATGTTCTAGAACTAGCATCGGATGATGCACATGAGGCCGTTTGTCTAGTGTTGAATGTTCTAGAACTAGCATGAACTAGAATGATTCGTCATCAGTTGATCCCAGCGCAAACTCCAGGTAAGTGCAGAAAGGGAAATGGTTCAGCTCATGCAAAGCTGATGTTGTCCCTTACTGTTGTAAAGCGTGGTGTGGTTAGATGGGTACACCACTTGTATACCACTAGCTCTGCAGCATGAAAACATTTTTTTGAAACAATGTCAGCTTCGTTTGATTTTATATTATATTTCTATTTTTTTTTATTGATTAGCTTTAAAAAATCTCAAGCTAACCTCGTTTTGAATTCACGCTCTATTCACGATGTTTACACAGTCGAGACGAGCTTTCATAAAACCAACATCAGGCTCCAGAAAATATACACAGCATGTGATTATGGCCCCTTTCTCGGAGAACAATATTATTTCAGTCTGCAGTCATCTTCTAGCTTGTCTTCTACGTTACTTCAATAAAAAAAAATCACATAATTGAAATTTCTGGCTATTAACAAAATAAAGTGTACCAAGTAGCTTACTGCCCGGCTAGTTTTCTCTGCCAGTTTTTTGTTTCTTTGTTTCGTTGTTGTTGAGAAACCTGCTCACGTCACTAGCCCGGCGCAGTTAAAGCGTCATCAGTTCGAATAAAGAATGGCCGAATGTCGTTAGACCGACACAAAATTAATCCTGTTAGCCCACTTCTTCTTTGGAGAAAACCTCTATAAAAACAAAGATATTTTTCAACCGAGAAATCTATCAGAAAAGAAGAAACGTGTAAATTATTTTTCTCACGTCAAAATGTTGGCTGTTTACACTACTGGTTTCTACAAGTTGTATGTCCAGTTACGTTATGTTTAGGTTTCTACAAGTTGTATTCCCAGTTACGTAATGTTTAGGTTTCTAGCAGTTGTATGTCCAGTTACGTTATATTTAAGTTTCTACAAGTTGTATGTCCAGTTACGTAATGTTTAGGTTTCTACAAGTTGTATGTCCAGTTACGTTATGTTTAGGTTTCTACAAGTTGTATGTCCAGTTACGTAATGTTTAGGTTTCTACAAGTTGTATGTCCAGTTACGTTATGTTTAGGTTTCTACAAGTTGTATGTCCAGTTACGTAATGTTTACGTTTCTACAAGTATTATTTCCAGTTACGTAATGTTTAGGTTTCTAGCAGTTCTATGTCCAGTTACGTTATGTTTAAGTTTCTACAAGTTGTATTCCCAGTTACGTAATGTTTAGGTTTTTACAAGTTGTATGTCTAGTTACGTAATGTTTAGGTTTCTATAAGTAGTATGTCCAGTTACGTAATGTTTAGGTTTCTACAAGTTGTAAGTCCAATTACGTAATGTTTAGGTTTCTATTAGTCGTATGTCCAGTTATGTAATATTTACCCGTTGAGCTTTATTAGAAGTTATTTCTGTGTACATTTATTTTAGTTAATACTAGATATATGATCTCAAAACCGACAATAATACATATATATGTTTTGATTATCCGATATTAAACAGATAAATGATTTTATTAACCGATTATGTTATATAGATGTATTGTCTAATCGTTCCACTAAAAATATATGTTCGTTTAACCATGTAGGCTACCTGGTTGTTACGTGCGAGTGGTTGTTATTTCTAGGGTTGGAAAAAACCATGGTTTTTTTTAAATTGTGTTATTTACGTGGCAAAGATTGGATATCAACAACACAGTTAGATAAACAAATCTTTTCCACTAGATTTACCTATTTTAAAAAAATAGTTAAAATCTAATGGTAAAGGTTGTTTATCCGTAACACAGTTACTGTAAATCTAGTGGTAAAGATTTTTTATCAATAACACAGTTACTGTAAATCTAGTGGCAAAGGTTGTTTATCAATAACACAGTGTAAATCTAGTGGCAAAGATTGTTTATCAATAACATAGTTACTGTAAATCTAGTGGCAAAGATTCCACACTTATCGCCATAGAAAAACTTATTCTCCATCAAGATGATCGCTCTGGACGACAGTTCTAAAAGTGCAACCAATAATCTCTTTCTGGAGCTGGTTTATCGGAGGGGTTGGGGGGGGGGACTAACAGAAATACAATGCTTAAACTCTAGGGCTGGTTTTTCCGGGGAACTATCAGGACGGAGCTGGACTGCTGACCCGTAAGTCTCGAGTTCGAATCCGGGTTCAAGTCAGTAGACCGTCCCGGAGTCCACCCACCTCAGATGGGTACCTTACTCACGTTAGGGAAAGTTAAGGCGACTGGGCACAGCGCTGACCACACTTTCTCCTCATATGCCGAGGTCACAGAAACAGGTGAACTCTACTTCACTTGCACTATAGACAGTCAGGTTTGAAAAGGGAACTTTACTTTTACTTACTATCAGGAATACTATGCTTAAAATCTAGGGCTGATTTATCCGTGGAACTATCAGGAATAAACTACTGGTCACTTTAACGGTCAAATACTGGTCACTTTAACGGTCAAATACTGGTCACTTTAACGGTCAACTACTGGTCACTTTAACGGTCAAATACTGGTCACTTTAACGGTCGACTAGTGGTCACTTTAACGGTCAACTGCCCGTCAGTTCCTCAGTCACCCACCGGTTATTTTCCCGTTCATTCAACTGTTATGTCCCTTATCTCTCATAGCAGATCGCAAAAGTGGGGAAAATGGAATTAGTCATTTGTGCAGCCTTATCCCAGTGACCTCCCGACACTCTCCCAATTACCTACCCTCTCCCAGTGACCTCCCCTCTCCCAGTGACCTACCCTCTCCCAGTGACCTACCCTCTCCCAATGACCTCCCCTCTCCCAGTGACCTAACCTCTCCCAGTGATCTCCCCTCCTCTCCCAGTGACCAACCCTCTCCCAGTGACCTACCCTCTCCCAGTGACCTCCCGACACTCTCCCAGTGACCTCCCGACACTCTCCCAGTGACCTCCCTACCCTCTCCCAGTGACCTACCCTCTCCCAGTGACTCCTCTCTCCCAGTGACCTACCCTCTCCCAGTGACTCCCCTCTCCCAGTGACTCCCCTCTCCCAGTGACCTCCCCTCTCCCAATGACCTACCCTCTCCCAGTGACCTACCCTCTCCCAGTGACTCCCCTCTCCCAGTGACTCCCCTCTCCCAGTGACTCCCCTCTCCCAGTGACCTCCCCTCTCCCAATGACCTACCCTCTCCCAGTGACCTACCCTCTCCCAGTGACCTACCCTCTCCCAGTTACTCCCCTCTCCCAGTGACCTACCCTCTCCCAGTGACCTACCCTCTCCCAGTGACCTCCCCTCTCCCAGTGACCTACCCTCTCCCAGTGACCTCCCCTCCTCTCCCAGTGACCTCCCCTCCTCTCCCAGTGACCTACCCTCTCCCAGTGACCTACCCTCTCCCAGTGACCTACCCTCTCCCAGTGACCTACCCTCTCCCAGTGACCTACCCTCTCCCAGTGACCTACCCTCTCCCAGTGACCTACCCTCTCCCAGTGACCTACCCTCTCCCAGTGACCTACCCTCTCCCAGTGACCTACCCTCTCCCAATTACCTACCCTCTCCCAATTACCTACCCTCTCCCAGTGACCTCCCCTCTCCCAGTGACCTACCCTCTCCCAGTGACCTACCCTCTCCCAGTGACCTACCCTCTCCCAGTGACCTACCCTCTCCCAGTGACCTCCCCTCTCCCAGTGACCTACCCTCTCCCAGTGACCTCCCCTCTCCCAGTGACCTACCCTCTCCCAGTGACCTACCCTCTCCCAGTGACCTACTCTCTCCCAGTGACCTACTCTCTCCCAGTGACCTCCCTCTCTCTGGTGCCGTCAAGCCAATTTATGCAAAGCTAAAGCCACTTTCAGCTTTGAGATCCATACGTCTTTGGTCTGACTCCCGAAAAAGAACAACAGTATTAAAAAACTATAAACAACAATCTATCTAATTTCTCGGTCCCCCGCCCCCCCCCCCCCCCCCCACATTGTATCGTGCGAGGTTCTGGCGTGAGTGCTTGTCTTTGCTGACCTTTCTATCTCTGAGGAGCACAGCGACATATCGTATCAATAAACACCAGTCGAAGAATTCAATTTCAGCTGCATTCAAAAGTAGGTGTGAGTGTAGTGTTTGATGCCACGCACACCCACCCCCACACCCTGCTGAAATTAGATAGTCTGGCTATAGCTAGGGTTTCCACCATCACACCTTGTCGAGACTCTTTGGGGAACTAATTTGTTTCTCGGTACACAGTCCAGCTAGATCTGGTCCCATCCTGACCAGACTCAAGCAGTCATACAGCTAGACCAGACTCAAGCAGTCATACAGCCATACAGCTAGACCAGACCCAAGCAGCCATACAGCTAGACCAGACTCAAGCAGCCATACAGCCAGACCAGCAGCCATACAGCTAGACCAGACCCAAGCAGCCATACAGCCATACAGCCAGACCAGACTCAATCAGCCATACAGCCAGACCAGACTCAAGCAGCCATACAGCCAGACCAGACCAAGCAGCCATACAGCCATACAGCCAGACCAGACTCAAGCAGCCATACAGCCAGACCAGATTCTTGTTATTTTATGTTCTGATCCACGGTGCCATCTTTTCTATGGTTTATTGTGCCACTTTTTGTTTACCGGCTCCACTTATTTCTTGTGTGGTTAACTGTACCACTTATTTCTTGTGTGGTTAACTGTACCACTTATTTCTTGTGTGGTAAACTGTACCACTTATTTCTTGTGTGGTTAACTGTACCACTTATTTCTTGTGTGGTAAACTGTACCACTTATTTCTTGTGTGGTTAACTGTACCACTTATTTCTTGTGTGGTAAACTGTACCACTTATTTCTTGTGTGTGGTTCCACTTATTTTTTTAGTCGTTGACGACCGTATCTAGGAGAGACAGGACTCTATCAGCGCATGCGCATTCTTCGACAAACGTTTTGGTGGTAATCATTTCCGGCTTAACAAAAAATCAGTTTAGCAGACGACAGGCGCAGATGGCCACACGCAAAGTTTTTCAGCAGGCGACACTAAATTTGTTTAAACAGTACAGTGGAAATTACTCTTCAATAATATTTTAACGGTAAACTAGGTCGAGTTTGTAAGCTAAGATTAAATATATTTTTGTATAATAGCTCCATTTGGTTGCAAGCTTCCTGCTACAAACTAGTTTGTTTTACAGTTCCCAGACCTTTTGTGTGCATGGAATGAATGTCAGATGAGAAAATATTCTATGTTGCCATGGTTACCCTATAGGCTAGACCCGAATCTTAATTTGCAATAGATTCGTACGGCTTCTATGGAGCTAAATTGTTGATTACTTTTCTTTGAACTTTCTGCACAAAAGTGCAGCCAAGATGATGATGGCTCAGCATAGTGTCTTTCTCTATGGGGATGGATAGGTCGTGAGAATAGGTTGTGAGTCTTGGAGATGTAGGTTGGGAGAAGTAGGTTGGGAAAGATAGGTTGGGAGAAGTAGGCTGGGAGGAATCCCACAATAGAAACAATATTGTGTATCAAAACATACAGTAACAAAAACGTCAAACAAAAGTTTATGTCTTACATATTTTCTATTGATAACATATTTTTGTTCAATCATGGATCAACACGGATTAGGGTCAGGATGTGGTTGGATTAGGGTCAGAGTTTGGTTCGATTAGGGTCTGTATTTGGTTGGATTAGGGTCAGGATGTGGTTGGATTAGGGTCAGAGTTTAGTTGGATTAGGGTCTGGATTTGGTTGGATCAGCTGTTCTTGTCTGCCTTTCTAAATGTCTCCACCAGCACCGGAAAGACTTCTCCATTATCTGACCCAACGGTCCTGGAATTAATTAGAATACAGATTACATAATAACCTATACTAAAACTTCTATATTATATTAAATAGTAAAAAAAAAATTGTAAACTACACTACTTAAAATCAAAATTTTAGGGAATGGAATGCTATGATCTCTGTCCTGGGCTATCCTCTCCAACTGTCCCCAGGTGTATCCAATCCTCTTGGTATCTTCTTCCATGTAACGTCTTCAGGTCTTTCTTGGTCTGCAGTAGTATATTAGGTCACTTTTGGACCGATTTTTTGGCGGAGGTGGGGATGGTGAGGAACAATGACATATAGGAAAATACTCGGGAGCAGGATGCGCGGGATGCGCAAAGACATATAGTAAAATACTCCCAGCCTGGCGCCGCGGGATGGTGAGGGTGGGTGAGCAGGATGCGCAGGATGCGCAAAGACATATAGTAAAATACTGCGCCAACTGGGGTTGGCGGAGGTGGTGGGGAAGTAGGTCACCTTTTGGTGACCTTGTGACGTAATCATTGACCTTGTGACGTCATCATTGACCTTGTGACGTAATTAGTGACTTTGTGATGTAATCAGTGACCTAGTTACGTAATTTTAATGCGTTTTTTAATGAGTTTTAATGAGTTTTTTAAATTTTTAATCAATTTTTTATTGACTAGTTACGTAATTTGATTATTTGTTTACTTTTTAATTAATTTTTATTGACCTAGTTACGTAATTGGATTTTAATGAGTTTGAATTTAATTTTGTAATTTTAATTAATTTTTATTAACGAGTTACGTAATTTGATTATTTGTTTGATTTTAAATTGTTTACTTTGTTTGTTTACTTGTTGTTTATTTGTTTATATTGTGTAATTTTTATTCAATAGTTACGTAATGTGATTTTAATTATTTTTATTTTATAATTAGTAATTATTTTAATTTGATTATTAGTTTGAAATTCATTTTATTTCTTTGATTTTAATTACTTTGTTTATTTGTTTATTTAATATATTTCTTTTCTTTGATGTCTGGTATTTGAAATAAAAGACACTGTTTATTTGAATGTATGTATGTTTTAAATAAAAGACTAACACTAACGTGTACAAATAACAGGTTAAATTCTCCGACACAATGAACGTTACAAAAATAGAACATCCATTTAACCACATCTGTTACTTATCGATCCGCGATCCTTTGTTCTTGTCAAACAACGGGCGCGTTAATATTGATTCCACCCACGGGCCATCAAATGATGGCCTACCTAATTAAATTTGGTCACGCCTCGTGGGTTTATGCGTTGTTCGCCGACCCGATCACAGCAGGGGTTCCGCGTTTAATCGAAAGAGCTAAGTGGTTAACCACAAAGCCCGCGTTAAGTGTGGGAACATCTGTTACCATGACACGCGCCTCGTAGTGATTAATGGGTTTTATATTGATCCCACCCATGGGCCATCACAGCATGATGTCCCACCTAATTACATATATATATATATATATATATATATATATATATATATATATATATATATATATATATATATATTTTTTTTTTTTTTAATTTTTAAAATTTTTTTTAAATTATTATTTTTAAATTTTATTTTTAATTGTTGTTTACTTGTTGTTTAATTTAATTACTTTGTATAATTTATTTGTTTGAAATTCATTTTAATTAGTTTGCTTTTAATTTCTTTGTTGTACGCCGTTTGAAATAAAAGACTAACACTAACGTGTACTAGAAAGTGTCATTGTGTATAACATCCATTTAACCACAGCTGTTACTTATTAGCGACAGCTTGTACTTATCGATCCGCCCGTGAGCCTCCCCGGCGCTCCCCGTGGTTGCTTAATAGCGGACTCACTGAAGCGATCACAACAGGTAATTAATCGAAACCATTAAGTCCCTCTCCGCGTTAAGTGTGGCGACAGCTGGTGCTGTAATTAGTCACGGCTCTCGGCTTTTTTCATTAGACTACAGCTGTACATGAACTATGTTCACATATCGTACGCCCGGTCATTCTTTGATCAAATTAAAAAATTTTGTTTCCACATGTCCTGCGAACCGTCCCTTGCTATGTATGAAAGATTAATGGGTGTAACTATGCGCTTATAGCGAGGGTCAGCGAAAACAAAAAATATATTTAAGGGTCGGAATTTTCTTTCAACCACCGTTAAGTCAGGTTTTGAGACGAAACGAAGTCTCGGTAGGTTCGTGTTTTTTAATGGGCGACAGGGCGACTTGATGCGTTGGTACGTAGGTATGCGGGGTTAAGGTTCTATAACTCTATATATTTAAATACGTTTTTTTATTCAAATGAGTTTACTCCCCCTAACGTAAGTACATGTAAAGAGGGATTTCCTATAGATCTGTAATGAATTAGGCCTTTTTTGACTATGACTTGTTGCCCAGGTGTTGACATGATACGCTTTTTTTTTTTTTGAGATATACATACACACACACACACACACACACACACCACCACCACCACCACCACCACACACACACACACACACACACACACATGCGCGCGCGCGAAATTCATACTAGGTCGGTAATGGCGGAGAGAACTTATAGGTATACATTATCATGGCGACAACAAAAGCGACTCTTATTTTATTTACATGAAAGCGTGTTTTCCAAAAAGTGTCACCATACCATTGTCATTTTCACAGCGGGGTTTATTTTAAGTGTACCCCGTGCACGGTTGTTTACATTTTAAAAGACGTGTCGCGTGTCTTCCCCTTACGGCTTCCCTAATAGAGAAACGAGAGGAAAGACAACTGTTCTAAAATTAGAACAGACTTGTCTACACACACGAGTATCCTCCCTTGTGAAAAAAATTCGCGTCAGATTCCTTAACTAAACAGTCAATTTCTTTAACAAGTTAAAAAATAATTTAGGAAGACAAGGGTTAACAACATTAGACGCTACCGTTTTTTGTTTCCTGTGACGACAAGGCACAATACACTTTTGTATTTTATGTCTCAAGTAGAGGGTGGGATATTTTTTCTTTGTAAGCGTGTTGTAAACAATGGGTAGAGGAAGCGATTACTAGGTAAGAGGGGAGAGAACGTGACGTACATCGCGATATTTGAAAACAGGGCGATGTTTAACCTCAACCAAAAAAGACAATGAACCTAGAAGGAAGACGAATATATATC